ACTCCCCCTTCACCTTCACCTACATGAACATCAATTGACAGTCAAACGCCATGATGCTTACTCACTTATATCAATACACCTGGACAACTGCGGACACTCATTCGATTGGAAAAATGTATAAATCTTGGACAGAGGAAATTCCAAAAACACCAGAGAATTTTTAGAAGCCTGGCACTCATGTCATTCAGCAATCAACAAGCACATTGATTTCGGTCCAGTTTATCAAGCAATCAGGAAAATCATGCACAAATATAGGAACAAAAATCAAACCAATGAGGGACACAACCAAAGCAAAGAAGAAAACAATGACAAACTTAAGGTCATTAAGAACCAATCAACGTTGAGGTGTACAGAACAAGCTGTGAAACTCATATGGAGAAATTCGAACACTTCACTTCTATCCAAAGTTTGTACTGATGATGTCGTTCAGAAGAACGATGAAAGCTCCACGATCAAACCATCCAGCTCAAAGAACAAAATTCAATCAAAATTCCATTAATCATAATAGAGTTCCTTACAATAATAATAATAATAATAATAATAATAATAATAATAATAATAATAATAATAATAATAATAATAATAATAATAATAATAATAAACATTTAGAGTAAACATTATTTACTGCATAAACAATTGATCATAACGACAAAACAATTATTGAGACAAATCAGAGATATGTCACATATCATTTCAAAGTAGGAGAAGAAGAAAAGAACCAAAAGGGAGACAGTATTATTCATTATTGAATGTTATCAACAAATTGATCAATATGAAAACTAAAAAAAAGCAAGAAAATTGATCAGTTTCTGTAGTCAATTGTTGTTATTGATTGAGATCGTGATGTTGAAAACCTGGAAAACACTGGACGACTGTTTCGTCCTAATGTAGGACTCTTCAAGAATGTGCATCCATGCTTACGTTCACGGGGTTGTTAATGTTATCATTGCGTTTTTATTCTTTTTTTTGAAAAAAAAAATTAATTTCAGAGTGAGAATAAGTAGAAATTGTAATAATCTTATTGGTTGAATTCATGAGTTGATCTAAGCTAGATCACTATTGAAAACGTCGAAGACACTGGATGACCATTTAGTTCTAGTATAAGACTCTTCAATATTGTGTAACCACGATCACACACGTGAGACTCGAAACCAAAAACATTGATCCCGCGTGAAAACATTTAACTTATAGATCATTGAATCAGTATCCAGCAGTCGTTCAAACAGTCATCCAACTTCATGTATATTTGTGGATGGTTACTGTTGAGATGGGATTTAATCACTCGAAACTGCATTATACTCCTTCTCTATTCTACACTGATTGTCTTCATCAATTCAGTTTAATAGATATGTTCATTATGTACAGTATGACTTCATGTTCTTCCATCACTGACTGTTGTTAGTTCTAATGCCGCTGGAAACCAAAAAAACACTGAATATCTGTGTCTTTTTAGTAAGGGACTCCTGAGAAGTTAGGATTTACGACTCTACCACAGGAATTCAAACCCATGACCTTAGGTCGTGAGTATAAGCACATAACCTCCAAATCTAATTTTGTACATTTTAAGTTTCAATCAGTTAGTGGTATTGGTGAACAGTCTCCATTGTTTGTAGTAGATACTTATCTTACACCTGAAATGATCGAAATCCACTGAATAAACCTTCTCACTAAAACTCCTAGAATTGAGCCTAGATGTTAGTTAACAGTAAGTACATGTAGAAGAATTCATAATCTCAACAGAAAACCTATATTAAAAATACCTGTTACTGTAACTCATTCTTACCTCATTGTAGTTAATCTTTGTTTAAGTGAAAATCCAGACGAAATGTGAGGATGGCTGTTTCTTGTAGTTCTTCATTTGTTCTCACTTACTATTATAGATCACCAACGTAGATGATATATGTCGAATGGTTGGAGGCCAAATCAAGTTGGACGGGAATGATGTGACGAACCAACTAATTTCTAAGTCACACCTCGCGGTCAGCATCTCACGTGGATTACCCTTTCGATGCATCAAAGTTCTATGGCTACTTTGATGACCGTATAACACAATGGATGTTACTGCAGAAATATATTAGTAAGAATGAGTACAGAGAAGAGAGTCAGACCACCACCGCATGGGCCAGTCCATGACATGCGATTGACTGATGAGCATGGGTTGTCCTTGACCTTGACGGGGATCGATGATCTGTTCAATATTCAGTGACCCAATTGCCGGATGACTTGGCTAGCGCTCATGGACATTTCACTGGCCCTACACCATTTATTTTTCAGTACGAATATTTCACTCTTTTTTTTCAAGAAAAATATGCCTATTCTGTAATTTTGCATTTTTAAAAATAGTGATTCTCATTTCAACAACAAATTGAGTGGCAAGACTGTATAATTTATGAACAAACCAATCAGATTTACGATGACAGATCTTGGATTTTAGCGCGAAATTCATTCATCAATTTGGTTAAATAGCATTTTGGCATTTTAGCTGACGTCAGTTCATGATGTAAACTCTAAATCTAATCCATATCCTTCACACAGATTTATAACCCTTATTTAGTTCTAGTGAGTAGTTGAACATTCTCAAGTCCATTTTAGCGTCGTGTCACTTCTTTCTTGTAGTCTGTGCCATGATTTCTGTCAAAATGTCGTGTTTGTGGCGCGATGACTTTCACAGCTCTGTTGAGCTGCCAGGCCATCAAAATCCATTGTACACCAAGCACCTGAGATGTTCAACATCTACGCTCCAGCAACCTGCCAAGCCATCTACATCCGATATCTGCCCAGCAGTTGTACATCACGCCGCCCATCTTCGTTGATAGCACCCTCTCAGACAACGTCACTCTTCCGGAACTATCCACTCGATGTTACCTATCCATACCAGACAGCACCAACTAACACCTTAAACCCAGACCAGTGACGGCATTATATTCAAGACTTGGATTTGATAGTTTTATTTAAGTGCTTCAAAAATATACCCCTAAGTAGAACAAACACTTCAAATCTATTGAAACAAATAAAAAAATTTATGATTAACTTCATGCTCTAGGGGTTTTTACAAGGAAGTACTACAAGATTCTATTATTATCATCATCTACCAATGTTTTAGTGAACAGTTATACAATGATTGACTGGTCCTTCGTTTTAACTGACTGACTTATATGCCTGGTCCTACGTTGCAGCTGAGTGACTAATTATATAATGAAAATCATGAATTCTATTGTGTCTCACTGCACAACACACACACACACACATATACTCAAACTTTACCGTTTACATAATTTATTACCAATCAATGAGTGTTTATATTAAGTGAATTGATGAAGTGATGTCTAAAAGTAATTGATCAAAAGTGGTCCAAATAGTAAGCAAACTATCTTGAGTGTTCTTGAACAGAAAAAAACAAACAAAGAAATCTATGCATAATAATCAATAATACTGTCATGAGCGAGAACACCAATAGGACACAATCAAATGTGTTTGAATAGAACATTACAGAATCATTGAGTAAAATCTGAGAACTATACAGTACGATACTTTATTTACACAATGTAAATTAATTGTCTCAGACATTGTTGTTTCTTCGTTTCCATACCAATCACTCTTTGGTCTCATTCTGTTTTCTTTGATCTTGTTAACCTTCTGCCTCCAGGCATTTCAATTTTGACTGATGATATATACTACTTATATCTATCGACATCTGTAGCATACATCATAGTTGTTCCCCTCCCCCTTTAAAGCGGTGGTTTTGCATGTCGTGCCACTTCTTTCTTGCAGTTTGTCTTGATATTGGGTTAAGTTACAAGCAATCTAAGAAAAGATGGATAGTGGCTAGTAGTAGAATCCAGGACGTGCGTTTTGTTATAATTTTGGAACACGCCAGTTTTATTTAGCTGAATCACAGAGTTGATCTTAATTCCATGACTCGAACCCAGTATCGTTCTCTTCAAGCACCATCGCTAGTTAATGTATTTAACTACTATTTTAAAGAAAAAAGTTAACTAAATTCAGACATAAATTTATACCAGCATCTTGTAGAGTATGCTCATTCTGTGACTCGAACTCAGTAACATTCGCTCTAAATGCTCACATGTTATACACTTACATACTGAGTCGTGATAAACACCTACTTGTGCAAACTTATGAAGTTTTAAATTGGCTTGGTATTGTTTTCACAATTGATTGATCACTGGGTGGTGATCAATGTCATGTGTGTCACGTCCTTCATATTGGAGATCGAATGCTATCGACCAACACGGGATCGAATCCGTCAGGGAGCACCAGTTCCCTCAAGATTACAGGCATACCTTGTTGACGAGTGCCAAGTAGCACAAGACCCGGGTCAAGGGTTTCCTGTCGACTACCTCTAACCACCATCTAATCTCGGTATTGTTTGTTTGTACCTTACTGTTGTTGTAAAGGTCTGTTATTGACCAGTCTCTTATTGGCATATGTACATTCTCTACGAATTGCCTCGATATTGCCTTAAGTCACAATGATTCTAAGCAAAGATGATTGGTGGCTAAACAATGGAATCCATAATGCGTGTTTCATCCCGTTTGGAATATCATCAGCTAGAAATACCTGCACTTCACAGTTAATGCTCACTCTACGAGTCGAACCAAGTACCATTCGTTTCAAAACACCATCAGTTTATCCATTTAACTACAAATTGTTGATAATCACTGACTTATAAAATGAAATCCAACTCAACAATGCCAAATAAATTTACATAACATATGATCTTACATGTTTTCTTTTCCATTACAAGAAAAAAAAACAGCTACTCAATGTATTTCACTACTATTTTAAGTAGGATAAATTTTTTTTTATCTAAGTTCAGACCAAATTGTATACTCTCCCTCTACCCCCCCTCTCTCTCTTTCATATTCATATACATACTACATACCATAGTAACACAATACATATCAAATTGATTGTCATATCGATGTACTACAATGCATGAATTCATTTAGACTTTATTGTGTTCGTTTCTAAGTAGTTCTTTACAAATCATATGATACTAAGTAGTAGTAGTAGTAGTAGTAGTAGTAAGTAGTATGTATTAGTAAGTAGTAATGATAGAACGAATTGAATAAAATGTATAAATATCCATTTCAATGAAGTGATATTTATTGTTTCCATATGAAATTTGTGGATATTTATTGAATTGATTCTATTGTTCTATGTATATAATAGATAGATATTGAATTAGCATAGTGATTAAACAGACCTGGCAACAAAAACAAAAACACCCAAAAAAAAAAAGAGAACACAACGTATTCCATAGTAAATGCCACTATTTAAATTCATAATACCAACAATAAATCAACATAAAAAATGTGAAAATATATTTCGTTGGCTTGTTAAAGATTCTATGAATGATATCACATATGAACAATTAAATGAGAGAATACAAAGTATATTCTATAAATTGGATTCTTATAATAATAATAATGATTTAATGAAAGAGTTTCAAGTATTATGGTATGGTAAGTTGATATTGTTCATGATGGATTCATCTAATCACTATAGTTACATAAGATACATATATTAGATATGTATCTAAGTGATGTATGATTTAAGAATGGAACTAACCTGAGTCCCCCCTCACTCTTCAAGTGGAGCTATTTACTTGGGATGTATTTAAAAGGTCTTATTCTTGCACTTACATAAACATGTACTGATACTATGCCTTGATACGGCTGAAGGTGGGGAGAGTCAGCTCTCCTTCATAAAATGCTTTTAGTATGGGCTCGTCGTTTTGTCGTCGTTTCGATTGAACGATATTGTCGAAAGGGCTCTCCAATTTAGTAGCCCGAGTTCTGACTTTAGTTCGATCGTATGAATGATTGTTATTGAACTATATATATCACTTGTCATCGTATATAATCAGCGAATTTAATCGCGTTAGTCAATAACGGAATTAAGTAAGTCAAATAATGAGAATAGACTTTTCAATACATATATTTTTTATATGAAATGACTGTAATAGAACAAAGCAAAACGACGCGCAATGGAGATAGATGGTAAGCCAACCCCCAATTAAACAAACGTTAATCAATAATTATAGTTACACAAAAATAGGTTACAGACATGTGACGAGTAATGGGATAAGAGGTGTATACACACCTAGGGACTCATATAAAACTAGTCAAGACTGGATAATCGAATAAATAACAAGGTCAGAATATGACTCATGTAGAATGAATAGAATGCGCTGTCCGAAAGCTCGAATAAGGTATATATGGCCTCACATGACCATGTGTATACAGCCACTACCACTGAAGTCTTACTCATCATCTTCTCGTCACTGAAGTATTGTTTACGAAATTGAGAAAACAAAAAATAAATATCCAGTACTTTAACTGGGTTAGTGGATGTGGAGCATTCACCTAGGTGAGTTGGAAAACACCGATTCCAAATTAATGTTGCAAATGTGCTCTAAGATCCTGAAGAAATATATAGTGTATGAATCAATCATTGGTCATCGGCTATCATGCGACTGCATCTCCTCACGTCGCTCCACCGATTTGTGAATCAGAATTTTAGGTCGAAGGATCATGGTGTAGCCCTTTTAAGAAAATCACCTGTTTTGGTTTGAACACCCGGGTAGTATTACAGCCCACACACAAATCAACTGACTTGTGTAACTCATAGGTATATAGTGCTCCTTTGTACCAATATGTATGTGTTCAAATAAATAATAAAAATAGTAGGATTAAGGAGTTACAAAGATATTAGTTGTATCAACCATATTCACTACAGTAAAGTAGACGATGAAAAACTACTGCCTCTCTATATACATTTAAGATATTGAGATGGTAGAAAAGATTTGTGAATGATTTTCATGAAGTTCTGATCTCAGAACTATCAATCAGAATCGATCAACATCGTGGTTTATAGGAGAAGTTGTGAACTATATGTGGAGAAATTCGAACATTTTACTTCTAACCAAATTTTGTACTGATGATGTCGTTTAGAAGAACGATGACAGTTCCACGACTAAACTATTCAGCCTAGAGGACAAAACTTCATCAAAAAGAACATTTAGGATCAACTATAAAAAGATTACTTCCAAAGGGGTATATTCAATCTGTCTATCTATTATATCCCACTATTGGAATAATCCATAATTTTAAAAGTTTCAAACCACGGAATTCAATGAAAGGATCTACTCATTTATTCAGTAAGGAAATATAACTAGGTTGATGTCATAGACAGGCTCTAATGATCGATTACGTAATGTAAATAATAACGATAAAGGATTACTTACTTACTTACTTACTTACGCCTGTCATTCCTAATGGAGCATAGGCCGCCGACCAGCATTCTCCAACCCACTCTGTCCTGGGAACGATAAAGGTTTGTGTATGTTCAAATAAAAAGTTCACCATTAGAAACCAGGAAGCATTGAACAACCGTTTCGTCCTAGTATGGGACTGCACAACAGTGATCACCCATAATCCTGCAATTCAACAGTCCTAAACATCAAAGGGAAGATTCAAGTAAATAATACCAAGTGAATTTAAACTTCATACCATTTCACAAGCTAGTGGATATTATGATTCAGTAGTTAAATGGATAATACGATGGCCTTTGAAGCGAACGGTAATGGGTTCGTATTTCGTAGTGAACATCAACACTGAAGTGAATTTATATCCATCTGATGAGTCCCAAATAGGACGAAATGCGTGTGCTGAATTCCACTGCTAGCCACTATCCATGTATACTTCTATTAATAGCTATCAATAACCGATTCTAACGTTTTTATACTACTTTTTCCAACTTTATTTTATATTCTTCTCTTCGAAATGACTTGAATAGACAATGTTTTTTCTGAGAATGTCAAATTCTTCCTCAACCCATATATAACCATAGATCCTACGTCTTTGGTAGCATAAAGAGTTAATAAGTTTCATTTTTCTGTTAAATGGAACAAAGATTCAAAGTTTAGCAAGTTAAAACAAAACATTACCTATCTAGGATAGACGGATTTCAGCTGGTAGAGCAATCAAAGACGCGCTTTTCATTCTATTTAGAACTCGTTAGCTGGATGTACCTGAATCACTCTATGACTCGAACCCAGTACGGTTTACTTGAAACACCATCGTGTTATCCACTTAGCTACGGTGTTCTGATAACTAACGAGTCCTCAGTAGGATAAGACTTGCGTACTCGAATCCATCACTACTATCCACCATCCATCTCCGCTTATAATTCATGTGAATTAAGACAACATCGAGGCAATCCTTATAAGATGTCAATAAGAGAGAGTGACTGGTTCATTGCAACCCTAAACATCAATCAGAAGATTCCAATTACTAACTTACTTACGCCTGTTACTCCTAATGGAGCATAGACCGCCGAACAGCATTCTCCATCCCACCCTGTACTGGGCCCTCTTTTCTAGTTCTATCCAATTGTTCTTCATTCTTCTCACGTCTGTCTTCGTTTCTCGGAGTAATGTGTTCTTTGGTCTTCCTCTTCTCCTATAGCCTTGGGGATTCCATGTGAGGGCTTTCCTTGTGACACAGTTGGGTGCTTTCCTCAATGTGTGTGTCCTATCCACTTACAGCTCTACTTCCTGATTTCTTCACCTGCTGAGACCTGCTTTGTTCTCTACCACAGTACGTTGTTGCTAATAGTGTCTGGCAAACGGATCCGAAGTATTTTGAGTAGAAAACTGTTAATAAACACTTATATCTACTGGATGATGTCTTTCGTAGTTGTCCACGTTTCCACCCCATACAGTAGAACTGTCTTGACATTTGTATTAAAAATTCTGACTTTGATGTTGGTTGACAGACAGTTATTTTGAGTTCCAGATGTTCTTCAATTGTAAATATACTGCTCTTGCTTTGTCAGTCCATGCCTTCACATCAGCATCGGATCCACCGTGTTCATCGGTGGATCAATACCAAACAAATTTCATCACATTGTTTGAGATGAGCTTCAGATGGTCAATAGGACTTGTAATCACCTATAACTATTTCATTTAATTCAACATACTGAAGTGTAAATTTCATCAAACACTTCATTTCAAGAGTTTGAAGTTATTGTCATCTAACCTTCTATGAATAGATCAGTTTAGTTGAATCTAATATGTTAAATTAAAAAAAGCACTAACATAGTGAAATTTACGACATCAAACGAAATCTTCCATCAAAACTATACTGTAATATACCGTGTTCATGTACCAAAACAAATACGGGAAGGAACTGAAAATACTGAATTCAACAGACATATTAAACGATTGAAACTTTATAAGCAAAGACGGATGGTGTCTAGTGGTGGGATCCAAGACACTCATTTCGTTCTAATTTGAGACTTATCAACCTGATATACATGCATCACAGAGATGATCTTCACTCCAAGGCCCGAACCCAGTACCATTCACTGCAGATGTCATCATGTTATACATTTAACTACTGAGTCGTGATAACCACCTCATTGTGCAATGTGGTGAAGTTTTAAATTCATTTGATATTGTTGTCTTGTATCTTTCCATGGATGTTGAGGACCGCAATTGATCAGTCTCTTATTGATATATATGTATACTGTGCGTATTACCTCGATGTTACCTTAATTTACAAGCATTATAAGCAAAGATGGATAGTGGCTAGTAGTGGGATCCAAAATGCGTGTTTCGTTCTATTTGGGATTCATCAGCTGGATGTACCTACATCTCAGTGTTGATGTTCACTCTGGAACAAGTGAATTTAAACATTGTAAATAGTCTTAGATACAATTATGGTTTATCTCGTTGGTTCCAATTACGTACACCTATTCATTACTAACGAAATTTCTTCTGGTTCTACATTTATCCCGGAAATATTGATAGAAACTGGACTAAAATGAAAAGACTGATTATTGAGTAAGAACAAATCGAACATAGTTTCATTGATTGGTATAATAGTATTAAATGACTTTAACAAAACTCTTCAATAGCGAGAAATAACGATCGAGTACGTAGGACTCGAACCAACGATCATTGGGCTCGTGAGTGAACGCTTGACCTCTAGGCAACTGAGCCGCGATTCAACAATGTTTATATATAAATTCAATCAGTTTTGAATGCGAGACCGTGGATGCATACTGTTGAAGAGTCACATATTAGGATGAAACAGTCGTTCAAAGATTCTAGGTTTTCAATGATGGGTTAGCATAGACCGACTCAAAAATTCAACTGTTATAATACTAAAATCTCCACAAACCCCTATTTTGATCTTACAAAATGTAGAAACTTCTCGTTCAGTACTTAAACATTTACAATTAAGATCAGCCATTGAGCTAATTAGCATTTTAATCGTCTGTGAAATCAACTAATTCAAGCACTTCTTTTAATGTTACAATACTAAGCTCAGTATGCAATGAAAGCTTAGTTATTTGTATAACAAGATTTGGCAACCACTTTGTCGCAGTGTGAATTCACGAATATAGGACCTACAGTCTCATATACGAACGTCTAAAATCTAGACTGATGAGCCGGAGTATAAAATGGAAAGGAACTTAATGAAGACAACAGAGGATGGTCACCCATTATCGACAATTGGTTGATTGAACTTCTAAATATACAGTAATGACCTTCAACTCAGTAGTCTAGAGATTGAGCTTCAATACCCGAGACCAAACATTCCGGGCTTGAATTCCTGTGATACAATCGTATATACTCACTTCTCAAGAGTCCCATACTGAAAAAGACACAGATATCCAGTGTTTCTTGGTTTCCAATGGCATTAGAACTAACAACAGTCAGTGATGGAAAAACTATGAAATTATGCTTACCCAATTCAATTATGTGAACATAATTAACAATACCTATTTGCAGTTTACCTAATAAACTAAGTTGATAAAGACAATCATTGCAGAGTAGAGAAGGAGTATAATGCAGTTTCCAGTGATTAAATCTCATCTCAACAATAACCAACCATAAATATAAATGAAGCTGAGTTAAGAATCTACTGGTTAGTTAACATCAAATATCTCATTATGACTGACGGTTTGAACTGTTTTGTTCTTGGAAAACCAGGTGGATCGACTGATTGTATACAGACAGGATGTGGATATACTAACAATTGGTGACTGAATCTCGAACTGCAATATCAACAATGTAATAATTTATAGTATAAACATGATACTAGTGACTTGTTACTGAATCCCAGTAACTCGATGGATAAATGAAAATCTTTGCGTTTGTTTGGTAGTGTGAAAATCAATACTGTGGTGGAGGTGCATCTAACTGACGAGTATTGAATAGAATGAAACACATATGCATGCATAATAAATGTCTTATTGAAATCGCCACTGTCGGTAGGTGATTCAGCGGTCTAAAGTTCAAACGTTTGTGTGCTATAATAATTGTCTTATCTTTGATTGTCTATGGCAGAATCATGACTGTAAATCCTTCGTAAGTTTCATACTAGGATGAAAAAACTGTCAAATACATTCTTATATTATTTGTTCGAATCTTTCCATTAATATTAAGGACTGTTATTAATCAATCTCATTAGGTAAGTGAAGTGTAAAGCAAACAGTATTGTGTTCGACTCTCAGGTGGCCCCCCCTTCCAGTCAAATAAGTTGATGAAGCCTAGTAGGCTCTTCTGGAGAAAAACAGGCCGCACCGAAGCACAACACAACTACCAAGGCTGGAATAGCTGTTTACGTAATCGGTTGTAGTTTACCCCATAGGGATGAACCTCATACATCCCATGAACTACTTTTGTGAATTTTTTAAATAATTTTTCGATCCAAGAGTAACTGTGCTGTGATTCTTTATGAATTTCGTAATCAATATGTAGATATCGTCCGAATGGTTGATTAACCCAATCTTTACCACCTGAATTACCGCTCACGTTAGTTCATAGGATTGAATCTTATTATTCAGGAGACACGACAAGGATGTTTATTTATTTATTTTAACACATAGATATTGGTACAAGGAGGCACCAAATACATATGTGCTACACAAATCTCATTCGATATGTGTTAGGGCTGTGATACTACCCGGGTGCCCAAACCGAAACAGGTGGTTTTCTTAGGGGTTCCACTCCCCGAGCCTTCGACCCAAAGGTCTGATCCACGAGGCAGTGGAGCATCGTGAGGAGATTCATTCCCATGGTAGCCGGTGACTGACGATTGGTTCATACGCCATTTGTTCCCGCAGGATACTGGAGCCCATGTGCACCATTGGTTTGGGATCCGGTTAAAGCGCCATACATTCGCTTTTCGTCCTCCCATTTTCGTAAACAACACCCCCTCCACGAGAAGGCAGTGAGTAGGACTTCCCTGGCAGAGGCTGTATACGCGTGGTCATGTGTGAGCATTTGGAGAGGGAGAGCGGACTCTCCCCACTCTCGGCCATACCAGGGCATTTGGAGGCACGACAAGAATGTGTGAATAGGATTTCATCTCCTTCTCTAGTCCCAAAATAAAACTAATTTCATCTATTGAATTCATTCAATTCTTTTAATTTCTAGATGGTGAAGATCTATGTCGTATTATTTCCACAGAAGATCTTCATGATGCTATACAAACATTAGGTGGATCAAATGGTAATGAAAAAAGTATCCGATTTTATATAACAACAAATGATTGTGAACAATTCAAGAATCAATTGAATAGTTTCATAAAAGAAAAACAACCTAATGAATTAAAATTACCCGATTTACCAGAAACATTAGATAAACTTGAAATTGATGAAAATGTGAAACATAGTAACACTGATCTAAATCACATAGAAACAAAATTAGATACAAAACAATCACTAATCGATAAATCAATATTATTCGATCAAAAAACGAATGAAATTGATCTAGATCATCATCCTATTGTACCTAGTGCACCAACATTAATGGATTCAAATACAATGGATTTATTATGGTCATCATTACAATTACCACAATATAATATGAATTATATGAATATACCACAAAATGTTCATACATATACTACTTATACACCATATACACAAGGATATTTTTTATATAATAAAATGAATATAAGTAAATTACCACCATCATCCCCATCCCTATCCCCATCTCCATCATCATCATCATCGTTGTCGACATGTCTTCAATCCTATTCAATGAATGATCAGAAACGGTTAACAAACAATACATATAGTACAATATTACAATTACCTAGTTCATCATTTCATTTAAACAAACGAAATAATCCATATACAAGATCATGTATTAACTTAGCAACTAAATCTAATATTACTACTAATAATAGTAATAGTAATGGTAAACATCAAATCGATATATCGGCTATTATTATACGATTACGTCATATGGGATTTCAACAAAGTGATATCTATTTAAGTAATATCATTAGACAATATAATGGGAATATAAATCCTATTTTAGATAGATTATCATTTGAAAACAATAAGAAATTATAATGTATTTGTACTGTTTGTTTATTGATTTGATAACTTCCATATGGATTATTATTTGTATGCTTGAAATAAACTCATCTCTTTCATCATTTATGGTTGTTTTTGTCGAATTTCAATGGTTGAAGGTTGTGAAGCTAGATCATGAAATTGGATGAGTGTTTCGTTCTGTTGTGGAATTCGTTGATAGTGCGCATCCACGATCCAGTTCATGGGATGGGAACTCAGTACTTATCGATTAATTTCCAAACTACTGAGCTGGCCGATGTCCAATAGTTTAATGTCTAACTTCAGTTATTCACGAAATTCGCTGACACATCCTATTATTTAGGACTCGTCATTTGAATATCCTATCTTCGATTCTTACTAACTTACTGACTTACTTACGCTTGTTACTTCAAATGGAGAATAGGCTTCGAAACAGCATTCTCCAACCCACCCAATCATGAGAATTCCTTTCTAGTTCTATCCAATTGTTGTTCATTCTTCTCACATCTGTCTCCATTTCTTTGGTCGTTCTCTTTTCCTTTGGCCTCCAGGATTTCCATTGAGAGCTTGCCTTGTGACGCAGTTGGATGCTTGCCTCAATGTGTGTCCTAGCCACTTCTAGCGTTTCTACCCGATTTCCTCCTTCTCCGCTGGGATCTGGTTTGTTCCCTTCCAAAGTAGGTTGTTCGTGATAGTGTCTGACCAGCGTATCCGAAGTATTTTGCGTAGACAACTTTTAATAAACATTTATATCTTCTGGATGATGGCTCTTTGATTCTACTGTTCAATATATTTATGAAGATTATTGAGAGTTAAGCTTTTACAGATGTTTCTTCATTTCTTCATTTTTCATCCAACTCCATCTTCATCAATCCTTTCTAGTTGTCGCCAGTTGCTATTCATTAGTTTCATGTTTGATTCCAACTCCTGAAGCAATATGTTTTTTGGTCTTCCTCTTTTCTATTTCCCTTTAGAATTCCAAGTTATGGTTTACCTAGTGATGCAGTTTGATGATTTCTACTTGTAGCTCTTCATATGGTTACTACCGGTTCCATTTGTCAGCCGGTAATATTTAGGAGTGAGGTGGATGCTCCTAATATGGCTCGAAACTTCATAGATAAACCAATATATTCAAGGAAAAAGATGAATGAAATCCAGTCAGACTGTTTCGTCTTATTTAAGACTCGTCAGTAGGTTATCTTATCTTGGATTTTACTGTTCAATATGTTTATGAAGATTAATAGGAGTTAAGCTTTTTCAGACGTTTCTTCATTTTTTCTTATTATTCATCTCAATCATAGTGGGGTATCAAGTTTGGTTAAAACATTTTGATTGAGATCATGAACCGATTGATGTTAGGCCACCATTGGAAACCTGGAAGCACTGGACGGTCGTTTCGTCCTATTGTGGGACTCCTCAGCAGTACAAATCCCTGATCCTGCCGGCGGGATGAACTGATGAACTGATATTGTGACCGAATTATCATTTTGAAAACGTTCAACTATTACTGATGAACGTAAGTTCATAAAAATAGAAAGAAATTGCTTCAAGGCTATAGGTATAGCATTTTCACGAATCTTTGAGGATTTAGCTGATGAATTAGTAGAAGTCAGTATATTCATTCATAAGAATAAGGTAAGATATACATACTGAACAAAGGTGAAAGATTAATCAGTGATACATACTAAGGATTAATAGTCATACTCATGGAAATAATTCAAAGTTTGTCGGTCATCACCATAATCATCAATTTACGTACGCCTATCACCCGTCGCTGAGGAGAATAGGTCACTCACCAACATTCTCTATCCAAGTCTGTCATGGACAATTCTAACAAGTTATTTCCAGTTTCTATTCATCATTTTGATGTCTACTTCCAATTCTCAAGGCATTGTGTTTTCGGTCTTCCTCTTTTCCGTTCCCCTTCAGGATTCTATGTTATCTTAGTTTGATGATTTCCACCTGTAGTTCTTTTAAAGTTACTATCAATCTCAAGCCCAGATAAAGTAAGAAGGTTGGGCATGATGTCAACAACCTGACCCCTTAGAAACCAATGTCACCAGAAGACGCTAACCAGAATAAATCATCAAAGTGAAACTAATATAAAGAGTATGATGTATAAGTATAATACAATTGGTCATTCGTATTTTTAATGCTCATAACTAATAAGTTCACGATATGTATTGAATGGATCATGTATCTCACTTTGTTAATCCCACTTTTAGTTTGATTTTACTAACGGCGTAATATAAAGTCAGATACAATGAACTTTTGTACATTCATCCATTTCATATGTAAGCACGGATTCGAAAAGCTCGTTTGGCATTTGTCAACTAACGCCACCTATGGCGAAGACGAGATATCCGTCTATCAATTAAAGGACGAGTATACTGCGCGGCAGTCCGTTCTGTTTTACTTTACGGCTGCAAAACATGGCCATTAAGAGTAGAAGACACTCGTAAGCTATTAGTATTTGACCACAGATGCCTTAGAAATATTGCTGACATCTTCTGGGATCACCGGGTAAGTAATGGTGAGGTTAGACGGAGGGTATGGGGGAATGATGGTCAATCAGTTGATGAGGTTATGAATCTTCATCGACTGAGATGGTTGGGCCACGTGTTACGTATGCCTGAACACCGATTACCACGACGTTCAATGCTAACCGGTGTTGGAGATGGTTGGAAGAAAGTTAGGGGTGACCAAACCAAAACGTGGCATCAGTCCACAAAGTCACTAACTTCTAGTCGGAGCCATGTTGGTAGATACAGACTACCTGGTTGGGGTCCGTGTGACTATCGTAACCAATGGTTTGAGACTCTTGGTGACATGGCTCAGAATCGATCATAATGTCCTAGGTGTATACACTCTCTGTCTTCTCTTAAACTAAGAGATTAAAATCGCTTCATATCTTTCTTTGTACGAACTAATTCCTTCTTCCTGTACTATATCCTTATTACAATCTTTCTTCTATATATCACCACCTCTGAATTAACTACTCCTATGAATCCGGTGTTCATCTTGTTGTGTTAATGAGGTATAGCAACTTGGACCGATGCATAAATGTACCTGGTCCTACGTTGTAGCTGACTGATTGACTGATATATGTGTACTTGTTAAATGTTATACAACATTAATTCGTTTTATAGTTGAATTCATGAGTCAACTGAAACTAGACTAATACAGAAAACCTGGAAATACTGAACGGCTGTCTCGTCCTGGTATGGGGTCAGTGATCTAGAGGTAAAGTGTTCAAGCGCGAGGCTGGTAGGTGTTGGGTTCGAATCTCTCGCGGTGGGATCGTGAATGCGCACTACTGAGGAGTTCCATACTAAAATGAAACGGTCGTCCAGTTCTTCCAGGTTTTCTGTAGTGATCTAGCTTCAACTGATTCATGAATTCAACTATGAAATTACTAAAATCTTCACAAAATCTCTTCTGATTATAATTAATTAATCATCAATTAGTAAACAGTGTAATGTTTTTTTGGTAATTACTACCAGTCTAAACGACTCAATATCACTTGTACCAGGTTTATGTGTTAGGTGGTTGGAGTTAATTGATCAGAAACTCATTAACCTCATTTTTATGCTTATGAGAATTTGTTAACAAAATGGGCTTGTACTATTCAGGGGTGAGATGGATGCTCCTAATATGATTCGAAATCGATTCACCTACCTTCTTAGTCTGATGTATTAGCACTGATCTATTTGGTTCATGACTGACTTTATTTAAGACAACTAACTTCATTGATGAACTCCGCCTGGAGTCCCTCCGGGGGCTACTGCCGGTCCCAAGCCCGGATAAAGGAGGAGGGTTGGGCATGGGGTTAGCGTCCCCATCCCGTAGAAAACTAACTCGCTAAAAAAACGCTAACCAGAAAAAATTATTCAAACCTTTTACACTCTGCCCTGGGAGTCAGAAGGTCTTCATTTAGAAGAATTATGACGCCTCATGATGAAAGCCGAATTCCTTCGGAAGTTACGAGGCCGATGCCCCTTCTTACAACCAGAGCGACCATTTATTTAGGCACATGGAATGTTCTTACAATGTGGGACACCGGAAGAGCCTTCTAAATTGCTGCAGAAATGAGAAGATACAACCTAGAGGTACTTGGGATCAGTGAAACGCATTGGACACAAGTTGGACAACAACGACTAACTACAGGAGAGCTCCTGTTATACTCCGGCCATGAAGAAGAAAATGCACCACATACACAAGGAGTTGCATTGATGCTGTCCAAACAAGCACAAAATGCACTTATAGGATGGGAATCTCATGGACCAAGGATCATCAAAGCCTCGTTCAAAACAAAGAAAGAGGGCATTTCAATGAACATCATCCAATGCTATGCGCCTACCAACGACTACAATGAAGACGCGAAAGATCAATTCTACAATAGGCTGCAGTCAATCGTCGAGAAGTGCCCAACAAAGGACCTGACCATTCTGATGGGAGATTTCAACGCCAAGGTTGGAACGGACAACACTGGACATGAAGACATCATGGGACGACACGGACTGGGAGAAAGAAACGAAAATGGTGAGAGATTTGCAAACCTGTGTGCCTTCAATAAACTGGTCATAGGCGGCACAATATTCCCACATAAACGCATACACAAAACCACATGGACTTCACCAGATCACTCTACACAAAACCAAATCGACCATATTTGCATCAACAAAACGTTCAGGAGGACTATAGAGGACGTGAGAACCAAGAGAGGAGCTGATATAGCATCAGATCATCACTTGCTGGTCGCCAAGATGAAATTGAAGCTCAAGAAGCACTGGACAACGGGGCGGACAATATCACAAAAGTTCAATACGGCCTTTCTTCAGGATACTAACAAACTCAACAAATTCAAAATAGTCCTCAGCAACAAGTTCCAGGTCTTTCATGATCTACTACGGCGTGCCTCAGAAGATAGTCAATATCATACAGAACTCATGATGGATTACACTGCAAAATCGTGCATGGAGGACAGTTGACAAAGTCGTTCGAAGTGAAGACCGGTGTTAGGCAAGGTTGCCTACTCTCACCCTTTCTCTTTCTCCTGGTGATCGACTGGGTCATGAAGACGTCAACGTCTGAAGGGAAGCG